GGTCGTCTTGGGGCCCTGTTGGAATGCTCCAGGACCGTCTTGGAGGCCATCTTGTCTTAAAAGCCTTTTGGGCCGTCTTGCGGGCCTCTTGGGGCCGTCTGGGGGTCCTCTTGGGCCGTTCTGGGGCCATCTTCGAGGCCTCTTGAGCGATCTTTGGGCGATCCTTGGGGGCTCGTGGGCCGTATCGGGCCGTCGGAAGGCCGACAAGAAACACACGTCAAAATTCTTCAACCACCTCGACACAATCAGTTATTTTGGCCTTTTCTGGCCTTCCTGGAGGCCCTCTTGGAGGCCTCTTGGGCCGTTTCGGGCTAGCTTCGAGCCAACTTCGGCCATCTTGGTGGGCTCCTGGCCCGTCTGACGCCGTCGAAGCCGTTTGGGGGGCCCCTCTTGGCCGACTTGGGGCCCTCTTGGGGTGCTCCAGGGCCGTCTTGGAGGCCATCTTGGGCGTCTTGGAGGCCTCTTGGGTCGTCTTTGTGCCCTCTTGGGACCCTGTTGGGGCCTTCTTGGGGGCCTCTTGGGCAGTCCCGAGGCCATCTTGGAGGCCTCCAGGGCGCTTTGGGGGCGATCTTGGGGGCCTCTTGGGCCGTCTTGGGTCGTCGGAAAGCCGAGAAGGAGCGAATGCCACAATCCTTCAAACACTTCAGGGAAATCAGGAGTTTGGCCTCTTCGGGCCCTCCTGGAGGACCTCTTGGAGGCCGTCTTGGGCCGTCTTGGAGGCCTCGGGGGGACCTCTTGGGCCGTCTTGGGCTGTCTTGGACTCTCTTGGGCCGTCTTGGAGGCCGTCTTGGACCATCTTGGGCGGACTTGGAGGCCATCTTGGAGGCCATCTTGGGCCAACGTGGCCATCATGAAGGCCATCTCGAGCCGTTTTGGATGAAACATTGCGCAATTGAGGTCCTTTCCGGGTGGCCGGCGGGGCGGGCCGAAGCCCCAGAGGGAGTTCTTTTGGAAAAAAAACCAAAACCCAAACCGGGAGGGTCTAGCACGCCAGGTACTCCTGCGATGAATAGGGGCGACGGATCGAAGACGCCTACGGCGAATCACAGCCGCCCCCTGCCTTTGTGGAAGCGCCTATGTGGCCGAAAGTTGAGGCCAGACCTGCCAAGCTATCGGACCATGTGTTCCAAGAATCGGTTTGGAAAGCCTTCGGGGAACACTTGGGCATCTTGAAGGTCATCTTGGCCGCCTGGAGGCCATTTTGACCCTTTCGGGCCTTCTTGGAGGACGTCTTGGAGGTCTCTTGGGCCGTCTTGGAGGCCATCTTTAGCGTCTTGGAGGCCTCTTCGATCCTCTTGGGGGCCTCTTGGGGCCGTTTTGGGCCTCTTGGGCGATCTTTGCGGGCACTTGGGCCGTCTCGGGCCGTCGGAAGGCTGACAGAAAGCAAATGCCACAACCCTTCAAAAATTCAATGGGAAATCAATGATTTAGGCCTTTTCGGGCCTTCCTGGAGGCCCTCTTGGAGGCCTCTTGGGCCGTCTTGGGCCATCTTAGTGCCATGTTCGGCCGTCTTGGTGGGCTCCTGGTCCGTCTGACGCCGTCGGAAGCCGTTTGGGGGGCCCCTCTGGGCCGACTTGGGGCCCTCTTGGAACGCTCCAGGGCCGTCTTGGAGGCCATCTTGGGCGTCTTAAAGCCTCTTGGGCCGTCTTGCGGGCCTCTTGGGGTTGTTTTGGGTTCCCTTGGGCCGTTCTGGGGCCATCTTTGAGGCCTCTTGAGCGATCCTTGGGCGATCTTTGGGGACTCTTGGGCCGTCTCGGGCCGTCGGAAGGCCGAAACGAAGCAACTGTCAACATCCTTTGAAAAGCTAAGGGGAATCCGTGTTTTTGGCCTTTTCTTGCCTTCCTGGAGGCCCTCTTGGAGGCCTCTTGGGCCGTCTTGGGCCAGCTTCGAGCCAACTTCGGCCATCTTGGTGGGCTCCTGGCCCGTCTGACGCCGTCGAAGCCGTTTGGGGGGCCCCTCTTGGCCGTCTTGGGGCCCTCTTGGGGTGCTCCAGGGCCGTCTTGGAGGCCATCTTGGGCGTCTTGGAGGCCTCTTGGGTCGTCTTTGTGCCCTCTTGGGGCCGTCTTGGGGGTCTCTTGGGCAGTCTTGATGCCATCTTGGATGCCTCCAGGGCGCTTTGGGGGCGCTTTGGGGGCCTCTTGGGCAGTCTTGGGTCGTCGGAAAGCCGAGAAGAAGCGAATGCGACAATCCATCAAAAACCTTGGGAGCATCAATGATTTAGGCCTCTTCGGGCCCTCCTGTAGGACCTCTTGGAGGCCTCCTGGGCAGTCTTGGATGCCTCGGGGGGGCCTCTTGGGCAGTCTTCGGTTGTCTTGGACTCTCTTGGGCCGTATTGCAGACAGTCTTGGTTGGAGGCCATCTTGGACTATCTTGGAGTCCATCTTGGGCCAACGTGGCCATCTTGGAGACCATCTTGGGCTATCTTGAGCGACACATTCCGAACATTGGGAGCCTTCTGGGTGGCCTGCGGGACGGGCCGACGCCCCAGTGGGAGTTCTCTTGGAAAAAAGAAGAAGAACCCAAACCGAAAGGGCCCAGCACGCCAGGCACCGCTGCGATGAATCGACAGGGGGCGGCGGATCGACGACGCCTACGGCGAATCACCGCCGCTCCCTGCCTTTGTGGAAGCGCCTATGTGGCCGAACGTTGAGGCCAGGCCTGCCAAGCTATCGGACCATGTGTTCCCAGAATCGGTTTGGAAAGCCTTCGGGGAACACGTGGGCATCTTGACGGTCATCTTGGCCGCCTGGAGGCCATTTTGACCCGTTCGGGCCTTCTTGGAAGACGTCTTGGAGGGCTTTTGGGCCGTCTTGGAGGCCATCTCGAGCGTCTTGGAGACCTCTTGGGTCGTCTTGGGGGCCTCTTGGGGCCGTGTCTTGGGCCTCTTGGGCGATCTTTGGGGGCACTTTGGCCGTCTCGGGTCGTCGGAAGGCAGGACAGCAGATGCCACAATCCTTCAAACACCCATGAGACATCAATGCTTTGGGCCTTTTCTGGCCTTCCTGGAGACCCTCTTGGAGGCCTCTTGGGCCGTCTTGGGCCATCTTAGGACCATGTTCAGCCGTCTTGGTGGGCTCCTGGTCCGTCTGACGCCGTCGGAAGCCGTTTGGGGGGCCCCTCTGGGCCGACTTGGGGCCCTGTTGGAACGCTCCAGGGCCGTCTTGGAGGCCATCTTGGGCGTCTGAAAGGCCTCCTGTGCCATCTTGGGGGCCTCCTGGGGCCGTCTTGGGGCCCTCTTGGGCCGTTCTTGGGCCATCTTGGAGGCCTCTTGGGCGATCTTTCGGCGATCTTTGGGGGCTTTTGGGCCGTCTTGGGCCGTCAGAAGGCCGACAAGAAGCAAATGCCAACATTCGTCAAACACCTTAGGACAATCCATGTTTTTGGCCTTGTCTTGCCTTCCTGGAGGCCCTCTTGGAGGCCTCTTGGGCCGTCTTGGGCCAGCTTCGAGCCAACTTCGGCCATGTTGGTGGGTTCCTGGCACGTCTGACGCCATCGGGAGCCGTCTTGGGGGCCTTTCTGTGCCGACTTGGGGCCCTCTTGGGGCGCTTCGGGGCAGTCTTGGAGGCCATCTTGGGCGTCTTGGAGGCCATCTTGGGCGTGTTGGAGGCGTCTTGGGCCGTCTTGGGGACCTCTTGGGGCCGTCTTGGAGGCCACTTGGGCCGTCATGGGGCCCTCTTGGGGGCCGTTTGGGCGATCTTGGGGCGACCTTGGGAGTTCATTTGGCCGTCTTGGGCCGTCGGACAGCCCAAAAGGCGCAAATGCCAACATCCTTCAAACACCTAAGGACAATCAAGGATTTGGGCCTCGTCGGGCGTTCCTGGAGGATCTCTTGGAGGCCTTTTGGGCCGTCTTGGAGGCCTCTTGCGGGCCTTTTGGGCCGTCTTAGACCATGTTGAGGCCATCTTGGGCCGTCTGGGAGGCATCTTGGGGCCATCTTACCCGTCTGGGAGGCCATCTTGGGCCGTGTTGGGGACGTCTTCGAGACCATCCTGGGCCATCTTGGCCGTCTTGGACGCCATCTTGGGGGGCCAACTAGAGGAAACAGAGGCACGACGGATGCGTTTTGAGCGCCTTTCCGGGTGGCTGGCGGGACGGGCCGAAGCCCCAGGGGGAGTTAGTTTGGAAAAAGAACCAACACCAAAACCGAGAGGATTCAGCACGCCAGGCACCCCTGTGATGAATCAACAGGGGGCGGCGGATATCATGGCTTTCGGCCCATCCCGCCACCGTGTCTGGGCTGCGGGTCGATAGTGCGAGTGGTACACGTCTGCGTGTTGCCGTTGCGTTGCCAACATGTTCGCTGTAGATGGTCGGGACTATTCTATCGAGTGCTTCCCGTTGCGGGATGGAACGTTCGTTTGTACACGCGCGGATGGAATTTCGGAATGAATCCAGTGTTTCTTGCACAATGTTTTTTTCTGAGAGTGTCTGGGGTAGCGTAGAGCCGTCCCGGACCGGGTTTTTTGGGATGCTGCAGACTTTTGAGCGCGGGCGTAGACCATCTTGGAGCAGTCTGGGGGACGACAAGAGCGGCAAGGATTTGTCGACCCTGGTACGCGGTGAGGGGGGGGGCTCGGCACTGGAATTCTTGCCATACAATTGGCACACATTCTAACAATCCACTGACGCGCGAGCGCGGTGTCGGACCACCGCCATGTTGGTTGCTCCCACTGCTCTGGTTACTTCGGCTTTCCTTTCATGTCGGCTATTCCCGATGCATTGGTACGTTTGGCATGCTACGTGCAATTGTTTTTTCCTTGCGCAACGAAGGTTTGACGGGCAAGCGATTATAGGTGGAGGGATGACTGAGAGCAGCGGGATGAACATGATGAAGATTGAAACCAACGAGGAATAATGAAAACGAGGGGAGGGGCATAGAGGAGGAACATTGTGAGGAGCTGGCAGTGAGAGAGGAAGGGAAAGGAAGGGCGGAGTGACGGACTCCGATTGTCGCGTGCGGTTAGCGGTGCCTTGCTGCAACCAATTGTGTTTCCGCCGAGGAGCCTGCAGCCGATGTCGGCGAGGACGAGGGCGACGACGAGGAAGAGGAGGAGGACGAAGAAGACTCGGATGAAGAAGAGGAGGGCGCCGAGTCCAGCGAGGTCGCAGCAGCAGTGGTTCTGCTTCCTGAGGAGCGCGTTTGTCGCAAGCCCAGGCGTCTGCAAGCCTAGATCTGCCTAAGATTCAGAGCTTTCTTCAGCTGCTGCCCCATGTAGGATTCGCATGAGGTGGTCCGATTGGAACAGTGAGCAAACCAGGGCTGGACCTAAACGGTGTTTTTGGCGATTTCGTGGGCCGTTTTCGTTTCGACTTCGTTTTGCGGTAAAAGCGGATTCGAGACAAACGCGAGGGACAACGAAACCGAAACGAGAACGAACAACACCGTTTAGGTTCAGCCCTGGAGCAAACCTTACTCTACAGTCAAAAACCCAAATAAGGACGCGCGACTTTACTCAGAGTACCCTTGGGTCCTTGCTCTGCCTTGCTCTTGCGTCCTTGAGGCTTTCGTCGTCCGCCGCCCCAAAAATCCCACCTTCGGCTTCCAAGGGTCTTGCGTCCTTGCCGCGCGTCCTTAGTAGGGTTTTCGACCGTAGCTTCATATTGGAGCTCGCGGCCACGATCGAGGTGAAGCAGAGGACCCCTTTCGGCACCCTGGCCTTCGCTGGCCCCGCTGCCGTGCCGGCGATGGTGAAGGCGCGCGAGGCTGAGCGGGGCTCCCCCCACCGGCAGGGGGCTGGGCGCGTCAGGTTCTTGGCATCGCTCGGACGTGTGGATTTTTGTCTCGGCGAGAACCATCGAGGACCATCCTGGACCATCGAGCAAAAAGCGAGGGAAAGCGAAAACAAAATGACAACGAAAAACACCGTTTAGGTTCAGCCCTGGAGCAAACCTTACTTTAGCTTTATTGGAGCTGGCGGCCACGATCGAGGTGAAGCAGAGGACCCCTGCCAGCGCACCCTGGCCTTCGCTGGCCCCGCGCGTGCCGGCGAGGGTGAAGGCGCGCGAGGCCGAGCGGGACTCCCCCCAGCGGCAGGGGGCTGGGCGCGGCGGGTTCTTGGCATCGCTCGGACGTGTGCATTGTGTCTCGGCGAGAACCATCGAGGACCATCCTGGACAATCGAGCAAAAAACAAAAACACGCACGACACCGAAGAATGCACGGGAAGTGGACGTTCGAGCGACGGCGCGTCGGGTTGCAACGCCCGTGCCCCGCGCACGTGTCCTTGGATTTCCCGCGCCCGTTTCGTGGTTGTCTCAAGTCGGGCCTGTCCCTCTACAGAAGGAATATTTCCAAAAGGAGTCAACACATCGTCAGGGGACGATGTTTTGACTCTTTTTGACTACTTTAGGGTGTTTTTTGACTTTTTTTATTTTTCGTCCCAAATCCCCCTGTAGGGGGGCAGGCCCGACTTGATGGTTGTCCCGCGTGTGCGTCCGGGGCTGCCCCGGTCGGTCCCGTGGATGTGCTGTGGCCGTCGGCCGTGTTCCGCGGTGGTGTCCCGTGGCCGTCCCGCGGCCGTCCCGTGCGGCTGCCTCGTGGTCGTGTCGCGCTGCTTCTGCAGTTAGTGCTGTGTTTGCCTCGTGTGCTGTGGGTTTACCTGTGCATGACAGGCCTAGAAGTTGACACCAACACCAATATCGGCGGTGTGCCTCCACCGAGGGAAGAGGATCCCGACCTCGGTGATGGTGGTAATATTCTGGTTGCCAAGGTGACCCACATATTACCACCAACACCGAAGTCTAGGATCATCTTCCCCCTGCAGAGGCAGCCCCATTGTGTTGGTGTTGGTGCCCATTTCCAGGCCTCCATGTGCATGCGTACGTACATGATATCACGGCAATCAGCCCATCCCGACACCGTGCGTTGTGTGTCGGAATTCTCAGGGATGCCTCCTGGAGTCTCTTCGGGGCGCTCTCGGGGGCCTCTTGGGGGCAGTCTTGGGAGCCTCCTTGAGAGCCTCTTGGGAGCCTCTTGGGGGCCTCTTGGGGGCCTCTGAGGGCCTCTTGGGGGCCTCTTGGGGGCCTCTTGGGTGCCTCTTGGGACCTCCTGGGTGCTCCTCGGGGCCGAGGGCTCGACATGTCCGCTCGGGCCTCCCATGTGGGCCCCCTCTTTGAACCGTCTTTGGGGCCTCTTGGGCCGTCTTGGGCGCCTCTTGGGCCGTCTTGGGGCCCTCTTCGGCCGTTTTGAGGCTCTCTTGGAGGCCTCTCGGGCCGTCTTGGGGCGATCTTGGGGGCTTCCCAGGGCCGCCCTGGAGCGTCGGGAAGCCGAGTAGGCGGGAACGTCACAAATCTTCAACAGCCTGAAGAAAATACATGATTTGTGCCTCTTGAGTCCCCCATTGGGAGGCCTCTTGGAGGCCTAATGGGGCGTCTTGGAGGCCTCTTGGACCGTCTGGGGGCCATTTTGAGCGTCTTGGAGCGATCGTTAGACGACTTGGGGTCCTCTTGGACCGTCGTGAGCGCCCTCTTGGCTCGTCTTGGGGCACTCTTGGGCCATCAACGGTCACGCGACAAGACCGAGGCAGACGCGGGAGTGCCCATAATGTTTGTGAATTTGGGTTTCTGGCCCCTCAAAGACGTCCCAGGAATGCTTAATGAATTAGGCAAGGGACCCGAGGACACGCCCACTCCGTGTCCAGCGGTACGGTGGCGGATATACACATATGTATATACGCATTTTATGTGCAGGCGTATACATGTCTGCCTGTCTGTCTGTCTGTCTGTCTGTCTGTCTGTCTGTTTGTCTGTCTGTCTGTGTAAATGTATGCATGCACGTATGTATGCATGTATGCATGCATGCATGCATGCATGAACGCATCCATACATACATGCATGCATGTGGGTGCATGTATGTATGTCTGTCTGTCTGTCTGTATGTATGTATGCATGCACGCATGTATGTATGTATGCGTGTATGTATGTATACATGTATGTATACATCTGTGTGTATATATACGTATGTATGTATGAATGTGTGTATGTATGCATGCATGTATGTAGGTATAGATGTATGACTATATGAATGTATATGTATATGCATGTATGCATGTATGTATGCATGTATGCATGTGTGTGTATGTATGCATGTATGTATGTAATGTAATGTAATGTAATGTAATGCATTGTAATGTATTGTAATGTAGTGTAATGCATTGTAATGTAATGTGATGTAATGTAAATGTAACTGTAATTGTAACTGTAACTGTAAAGGTAGCTGTAAATGTAAATGCATGTATGTATGCATGTGTGTATGTATGTATGTATGTATGTAGGTAGGTATGTGTGTATGTGTGTATGTATGTATGTATGTATGTATGTATGTATGTATACAAACATATATATATATGTATGTATGCATGCATGCATGTTTGCGTGTATGCATGTGTGTATGTATGGATGTATGTACTGTGCTGTACGGCACTGTATGGTATTGCATTACAGTGTAATGCATTGTATTGTATGTATGTATATGTATGTATGTATGTATGTTTGTTTGTATGTCTGTCTGTCTGTCTGTTGTATGTACGTATGTATGCATGCATGTATGTATGCATGTATGTATGTATGTTTGTATGTATGTATGTATGTATGTAGGTTTACGCAGCTGTATATATATATATATATATATGTATATACACACTATGTGTATATGTACACGCAGCGGTGTATATATATATATATATGTATTTATATATTTGTATATATATGTATATGATGTGCGTGTGCATGTGTACAGGGAGTCCCCTTGGGTCTCTTGGGGGGCATGTTTCTCGTGGGCCTCTCGGATGCCTCTTGGACGCCTCCTTGGGCCTCTTGGGGGCCTTTTGGGCCGTCTCAGGGCTCTCGAAGGAGCCTGTTGGGGCCTTCCTTGTGCCATCTTGTTGTGTCCTGGAGGCCTCTTGGGCCGAAATGCTCAGAATACGCAACATCTTGTTTAGCCAGAGGGAACTGACATTTTTGTTTTTGCGATCTGGGTATCCTGGACGGACGTCGTACCTTCTTTTTGGTGTCGTTGTATCTCCTTGGGTCTCCCTTGGTGCCTCTTCGGGCCGTCTTGGAGGCTGTTGGGTGTCTTTGGGGGCAATGTGGAATTGTCTTGGCGGCCTTGGTGGCCGTCCTTGGTCGTATTGGAAGGTTTCGAGCGTCGTGGGGAGCCCCGAGGAGGCGTCGGGGCGCGGGAGAGGGAGGATGCATGCAGCATTGCGTGAGGAGAAGCGGGCGCCCTTAGACCTTATTCTACTCTGGGTGCCAGGGAGCACGGTGGTAGTGCTTGTCATTGGGTGTGACAGACGAATCCTTCCGAGGAGGAGGAGGAAGAGGAGGAGGAGGAGGAGGAATTGAGTAAGCCCAGCATGCGCCAACGATGTTGCAATGCCCCCTCCCGCCCCGAGTCCCGCCCTCAAGATTACATCCCGGTCTTCCTTTTCACTTGCAGAAATGCCCCCTCGAACTTCGAACTACCAGCGCAGTATCTGCCTGCTGTTCAGGCGAGAGCTCCTTTTCGAGAACGAGTTGCGTTGCAACCTTTCTCGCGGCTTATGAGGAATGCGAGCGTGTATGACTATAGTGTTCAACGTGAATCGAAAACGGACCGCCCCCCCAGATGTGAACATGTTGAATCAGTTTGCAGTTACAGTCAACCCGCATACTAAGGACGGGGAACCCCTCAAGGGTACCCTTGCATCGTTGCCTCCCCGGTCCATCCTTGGCCACTTTCGTTGGCCCCGCCCCGCTCGAAAAGCTTTGAAATGGGCGTCCAAGGCCCTTGCATCCTCATCGCGTATCCCTAGAGACGGGCCGATTGCATGACAGCGAACTTCGAGGAAGTATCGGGCGATATCCTTGGTTTGACGCTGGGCCGCCCTCCACCCGCGCGGCTGTTGCAGATGCCCAGACCTCTGTGGTCGTTTGGATTCTGGGAGGCCTCGAGCGGCAGCCCCGATGCGAAGTCGAAGACCTCCTTTGTCAGCGACGCGAGCGCGCAGCGCTCAGGCGAAAGAGCCCGATTTTGAACACGAGCCGCCCTCCGTCCCTGCTATACCGTGTCAAGGTTTCCAGGCGAATGCGCGCGGCGCTCACGCGAGAGCCCGAGTTTGGACAGCAGCCGCTCCCATCCGCGCTGCCTCTTCGAGCTTGTGAGAGTAGAATATGCGCGGCAAGGGGGAGTGATCTACACTGACACGGGAAACGTGATGACCATGCGGACGTTGAGGGCGATCATAATAGGCAGAGTGGAGAGGCGAGGAGGTTGCAGAGAGGGCTAGGGGAAGGGATAATACGTACGTGCGCCTGGACACATCATGAGCAGGAGGGGCGGGGTTGTATGGAGGGACGGAAGGGGAAGGAAGCGACGTGATGAAGTCAGGGTGTCATTATGGAGGGATGAAGCATGATAGGGAGGGCACGCAAGAGTGCATGAAGCACGGCGAGAGGGAATCATTGAGCAGGGGGGGAGGGAGGGAGGGAGGGAGGGAGGGAGTGGGGGAAGGAGTGATGGAGGGAGGGAAGCAAGGTGGCAATGATCATGATGACAGCGATCATGCTGGTGATGATACGGCTGACTATCACGATGACGATGATGCTGATAATGATGATGCGGACGAGGATAATGGTACTGATCACGATGACGATGGTTGTGATGATTCCGCTCGTGATGATGAGGAGGACAACTGCAGGGTGCGATTTGGTGTGCGGAGCGAGGCGCCTGCGAAACTCAGGGCTCCCAGCTTCCGCCGAGCAGCTCGACGGGCAGCGCGGGGGGCTGGCAGAAGTTCCAGCGCCGCCGCCAGAGGGGCGACGCCGCAAGGGAGGCTCCCGACGAGGCCCACGCGCCGGACGGAGGGAGGAGTGCGAGGCGGGGAAGTGGAGTCTCGATTTTGAGCTAGGACCCTTGCGCTTTCAGGCTTCGGGGCCCGTTTAAGGACTGCGCGTTTCGCCTCTTGTGAGCGGGCGTGGCTACAGATTGCGAAGCGTGAGGCTATGCTTGACGTGAGCATGCAGATGTGAGAGAGGATAAAGGCAGACAAGTTGTGCCCCCCCCTTCCGTGGGGAGCGCGACGGGTTGGAGGGAGTGAGGAGGGTGGAACGAGGACAGGGAGGGAGGAGGAGGAGGAGGAGGAGGAGAAATCGGGTTTTGAGGTCAACTCCCATGCAGCCCGACGTTATAGCAGACTGGTGGTGAGCCAGCTTGCCCCGAACTCCACATGAACTGCACAACTTAACAACTGCAGCACCATGGGAGTTCAGACACGACAGAAGTGTCGAAGTCGACGGGAACTCCGCGCTTCTTCGCGCTGGGGTGGAGCCCCCGCTTCCGCTTCGACCATGGCTTGCTGTGCGAGGCCACCTGCTGTGTAGGGTTCACACTCCTTACCGCTGATGGCCAGATGCCCCCCCAGTCCTTAGACACCCACACCTGTGGAAGACAAGAGCGGAAGAGCCATCCGGACAGTCAAGGACGACATGCCGATGTCCGAGGACCCCGAGGGCCGCAGGCTGGAGACGTGAGACAGTCGAGCACGACCTGCCTTTTTGGCCCGACCGCGGCGTGCCCTCTCCTGCCCGTCGAACGCTGCGAGCAGTGGCAGAAGCTTCCCGCCGGGGCACAGCTCCGCTGGTGTGGGATGCGCGCCTCCTTCTCAGCAAGTGGCTCAGCTTCTTCAAGCAGAGCAGGTCTGGTGTCATGCTTGCGCCACGGGGACACAAGCTTAGCCCCCGGCCGCCCCACAGCCTGAGAGACTCGCAGCTCACGGTCAAGACCCTCGGACTCCAACGGAGAAGGATCGGGATGCAAGGCTGCCGCCGCCTTCGCGGAGCTGTCCGCCCAGCCGTCACCCTGCCTGAGGTGCCTGTGCCACTCGTCCGTGGCTAGTGCCACGTCCTGCTGGGCATTGATCTTGAAAGCATTGACTTCCGACCAAACTGCTCACGCACAACCTGTGCGATACCAGAGTGCATACGCCTCGCCGAAGCCTGTTCGCTCCACGAGCAGGGCGGCAAAACCAACGCAGCCAAGAGGAGGAGGTGGAGGAGGAGTGGACAGTAAGAGGTGGAGGGAGGAGGAGGAGAAGGAGGAGGAGGAGGAGGAGGAGGAGTGGGCTGCCTCATCCTCCCTCCCTTCTCTTCCTTCCCTTCCCCCTCCCCTTCCCCCTTCTCCTCCATTCCTTTTCCTTGTCGATCATTTCTCCCTGTCGCACCCCGAGGCTAGTTTTTAGGGCGGGCCGGGCGTTTCGCGTGAGACTTCCTCACCACTTATGATTTTGAAGCTTAAACCTTGGCAACAGTTCCACAGATGGAGGGCTGGTGGTTTTTGAAATGTGGCTCTCGCTCTAGCGCGACGCACTTTCGTTACATCGAGTGCAAGAGTTTCACGGATTGAGGGCGGGTGGTTTTCCAATGTGGCTCTCGCTTTAGCGCGGCGCATATTCGTTTTGAAAAAATGCTAGAGTTTCACAGATTGAGGTCGGGTGGTTTTCAACATGTGGCTCTCGTCTTAGCGCGGCGTACATTCCTTTTGAAGCATTGCAAGAGTTTTACGGATTGAAGGCGGTTGGTTTTCAAAATGTGGCTCTCGCCTTAGCGCGGCGCACATTCGTTCAACACAATTGCAGGAGTTTCACTCCGCGCACATTCGTTTACAACGTTGGCAAGAACTTTTTTTTTTACGGAGTCCCCTCATCAGCATATCAGAAATAGTGGTTGGAAAAGATTCAGGATTATGCGGGTGCAGCATTTATGTTGATTCGCTGTGTTGAAGTCCCAGGAATGTCTATCTGGTACGATTCAGGATCGTTATGGCGCAACAGTCAGGTTGATCCGTGGCGTTGGAATCCCGCGAACAATGTTTTGGCATGCTTCAGGGTCCTCAAACGGTTGTCTTCCGAGGCAGTTCTCTCAATGGCAATGAACCGTTGTAGGGGCCTACGAGGAGGGAGCTTGGAGGGAGGGATTATCCCAACATTGTTGATGGTTCTTGGGTTTACACTGGTCCTTCCCCCTTCTCCTCGTCCTCCTCCTCCTCCCTCCCCTCCCTCACCCCCTCCCTCCCCTTCCCCCTCCTGCTAGCCGCCGTCCCGGCCCGAGTGGTTTGTGGGAGCCGTGCCAGGTACGGCGAAGCCACTCGCGCGGGACAGTTGCGACACGCGCCCGCCCCCCCAGCGCGCCCAGCAGCCACGGCGCGCGGCAGGAGGGCCAGCCGTGAAGCAGGAGGTGTACGAGACTGGCACCGTCGAGCCAGGGCTGAATCGCCACATCATCAAATCTACACGATCAACAGCATAGCGGTATGACGTGGAGGACACAGCGCAGCCATTCATCAGCGCGCTCGAGACAGCCATCAAGACGAAGATCACAATGGCAAGGGCATATACAAGGACAACACCGGTACTTGCGGGAGTGCCCGGCATGCAACCATCACAACAAGTGGGATATCACAAAGTGTGACAAGTGCCATCCGAATCAGCCAGCAGCCAAGCCAGCAGCTGACCAACCTACATCCTCCCCCCCGTGGAGGCGCTCCAGCTCGCGACGCCCAGCGTACAGCAACAGCATCAAGGAGGACGAGACCATGAATATTATGCCTTGCTCGCCAGAGGAGGCCCGCGCACACAGGCGCTGGCAGGAGCCACCTGGGAACCCTCAGGAGATTGGTGAGTGCAGAAAGGCCCTGGGCTCTACATTGGAGGGCCTAGAACGTCATATCAAATGGTCACTGGAGCTCAAGATGGATGCATCACAAGTACAAGGCTTGCGACATGCGTACGTCGTAGTATTGTATCAGCTCATGTACCTTCGCACGGCCTTTTGCCCGCACGGCCAAGCAGCTCAACTTTGTCAATCGAGCAAAGCGCAGGCTGACGAATGCCACGCAGAAACAGGTAGAGGCGCAGATTTAGTTCGACTCCTGTGTCGCACGAGTACATGCACTACACGAAGAAGTGGCGCACGCTGAAGACCTTCTCGAACATTTCAAGGACCTGGAAGACGAGGAGAAGCAGGACAACGAGCGCAAGCAGGCAGAGGTGCGCACACATATGTCGCGCACTCGTAAGCCGCGCGCAGCAGACTACATGGATGAAGATGAAGAGGAGGATTCCGACGGAGGCCCTCTCGCGCCAGCAGGAGAAGCCTCTCGGTCGCGTACGCAGTGGCCAGCTACCGTGCGCTCGCCGAGCACACCAGCGGGCACACGATCACCAAGTACGCCTACCACGCGAACTCCGCCTGGAGCTACACCGTGCTCGGGCTCAGCGGATTCGAAAGCGGAATTCTCCACCCCAGGGTTGCTAGCGAGTATGCAGCATTCGCAGCAGGCCCTCATGGCGCAACTCATAGAGTTCAAGACGGCCATGCGCACCATACAGAAGCAGCTCACAGACGTCAGCGTCAACAGAAATAAATACCAGAGAAGAACTTCAGCGATAAATTCAGGCATTGCAAGCGCAGGCATCATTGACATCTCCTACACCTACGCCAAGAAAGGATACGGACAAGTCCAAGTCAACTACTCCCGACGTGCGCACAGAAGGGCGTAGACGGCTGGAAAGTGCGTTCGCCCCAGGAACCGAGACAGAAAGACCCAGATCTACCTCGCCCAGGCGCCCCACGGGCCAGGCACCACCCAAGCAGGTCAAGATCAATGAAGAGACGGCCAGGGATTCCAAGCATATGCGACATGATGAACCGCATGAGATGGAGGCGGGAGAAGACGAGTCAGACATGACAGCGTTGAGCGGAGCCAGCAGCCCTGCAGGCCAGCAGGCAGTTTTTCGCGTGGCAGCCAATCTGCCCACACAGCAGTAACATCAGCTGAGCGCGTTTGGCGCTCAGCAGAATATTCTGGCAGGCTAGCCAAGGACCCAAAAGGCTCCTCAGCAGCCAGCCAGTGTGCAAAATCCGACTCCAGCTAACACAACAGCGGACCGCTCACCACATGAGCATGGATTACTTGAATCCCACATTAAGGTAACTACGCAGGCTCCTGAGGGGGGCGCCAGAGGAATCCAGAGGTCGCCAATCCCCGATCTCCGACCTACTCAAGAGCTCATGGAGCGCAGGTTGCCTGTTCATGCGGCTAGGGGTTCTCTGTCGTGGGCGCCCCTCATCTACCCAGGCCCTTCCAGGACTCAAGTACGATCCCAACTCGAGGTCTGCCCCGCGGGGAATCTGCGCTGGTCCGACAGCAGGGGGGTACCGACACACCGGACAAGTGTGCGGGCCAGCTGGTGCGCTGCGCATCATGGCTGTCTCTGTATTAGGTATCATTTTGCTCGGCTACTTGGCCGGTCCGCTCCCCGAATGGGAAGCAAACGATTCACTCGCTCCACAGAGGACGCAGTTGGAAGCAGCCATTTGGCCCATGGCATGGGTCACGCAGTCGCAGTTCAGCCCTCTGCCTCTCTGCACGCGCAGTGATAACACGGCCGTTCGCAGAGCGTATCAGGGAGGGCATGTCAGAGGAGCGCTCAGTACTACCAAGCTTCTACTCGACAGTCTAACACAATGTATACGTGCACGTGCTAATACGCTTACCTTCCAGCATGTCCATGGTCATGTTGCGAATGCTTGGAGCGAACCTGTTGACGCAATTGCCAGGTTGTTTTGCCATATCAGTGCTTCCCACCTTTTGAGCCGCAGTGGCGCGCGCCGGTAGAACAAGAACCCCGTTGGAGGGTCATGCCGAGGCTTCGGCCGAGTTACGTCTCACCCGAGGCTTGCAGCTCGCTACTTCCGACGGCCGACCATGCCATAGACATCGCCAAAGAGCCCCGCGCGGACCTCCGACGGATCGCCCCCAGGCCCAACCAGGCCCCCGATCGCAACC